TAAGAGAGCTAGATCTGACATCACTTGGTAGTGAGTTCAACAACTCAGGWCCAGAGAAAGGAAACGCCCTTTTTCCCATAAAGGTTAAGATTAAAAGAAGGTTTAAYTAAAAAAATAGATGTGAAGAAAGTGTCTACAATACAGTAAAAACTCGCGCATAAGAGCTGATTTGGTTCTTATATAAAGGGTTATAATCCGCAAAATCAGCCTGTAGGTGTTCTTAAAAAGTTTCTAAAAATAAGGAACATTTGCGTAAAACCAAAAATTTAATTCGGGAAGTCCGTCTAGAAAACACTGCCCGATGTCTTTTATATATATATTTCGTAACCTAGCTGCAGGATACCGTGAACCGGGCAGATTGTAAAAAGAACGGACCGTCCKCTAGCCAAGGGTTAATAATATTACCCATGATAAATATCGAAAATTCAAAAATAAATGGTCAAAATAAAACCCAGGATTCACCTCGCCCTGTTTCCAACACCGCCTGATAAAATTCAACCAATCTCGTTCAATCAAACAGTAGCGCGAGAGAGAGCCAATTAGAATCGAGAATGCTATGTGCAACACAAATCAGATTCGTTATACATATGCAGGTGTCGTTGAAGGATTGGCCCTTGATGGTATGCCCATCAAACGTATTGTTGGAGGCCAAGAAGCGAGTTCAAACCAGTTCCCATGGATTGTTGAGGTCATGATTGAAAAGGACTCAAAATATGAGCACATGTGTGGAGGTCTTTGATTGGCGCTGAATGGGTTGTTACTGCAGCAGCTTGCATGTTTTTTAACTTCGAGAGTCATCGCAAAATTAAAATTGGTGAGTACGTAAAATGTCTGCAATAACATTGGTCCAAATTGACTTAACATAATGTCAGGTGCACCAGTGTGCACCCCCATGATCCGCCTCTTCTATCTGATGATTACTCGTTTTGGACTTTAGGTGAATATGATCGTCTTCATGAAAGCGGGAGAGAAACAGAACACGAGATTGAAAAAATTCATGTGCATAAAGATTATCTTACTGACGGCTATGCMTACGACATTGCATTATTGAAGATATCACCGCCAGCAGATTTGAGCAAATCTCATGTCCAAACCATTCATTTACCAGAGAAAAACAAACAAATATCTGCARGGACCAATTGTGTCATAGCTGGTTAGYAAAATGCATTATAAAACTTATTAATAATGCATAAGCTATTGCTCCAATAAGGGCTGACCATTTAATCAGGTGATTGACCTTGTAAATCTGATACAACCACTAGTGGTTGTATCAGATTTACAACACGGTCGTCACCATTGAGACAACCCAACACTAGCAAAGGTCTCAGTTTTAGTGTCGCATCATAGACCTTCACTAGGTTTTGAAGCAATCAAAGACGGATAACAGAACTCGCTTATGCAACAGATGGCTTGCTTTCCATGTGGGATGGATAATTATTCAAAATGTTCTGTGTTGCAGTAAATTGCGCATGCTTAATAGGGACTAAACTCAGCAGTTACCTTATTTGTCATTTTTCGTCATTTATCTCACTGTAATTCATGTTAATTTGTGTTGGAGTTTTATAAGTCGTTTACAACATTCGCGTCCGTGTTGTATGGGAATTACAATCTCTCGCCTGCGGCTCGAGATTGTAATTCCCATACAACACGGCCGCTCATGTTGTAAACTATAC